AGGTTAAACGAGATCAGTAATTGTCCCTTCTAAGACATACCATTTGAAGGGAAGAGAGAGATAAACAAGGAGGCAACAGAGGAGGCATTTGGAAAAGAACTATCTGTAGCCAGCACACTCCAAAGCCACGGGGAGTTAAATAGGGACAGAGCAAATCTTTTATCTTTTTGACATTAAGAAATTCCATCTGGAGCTTCCATCGCAAAGGGAAGGCTAGAGAGGCGGGGCTATGGTCTTGGATAACTAGCCAACAATAAAAACAATATGTAAGCAGAGAATCTAACAGATGTGGAAAAGGGGATGAAGCAGTGAAGAAGATAACATATTATAGGTTATAAATTGTGAGGAAGGATTGCCAGACACCAAGCTGAGTGAGACTTGGCAAAAGGAATTAAATAACAAAAACTGCTGGAACAGGTTTTACAAAAGACAACGAGGAGGGAAAGAATAAACGAAGTTGCTGTGCAGTTAGTAGGGGTTCCAGGTAGAAGATTGTTTGTGTGTGGTCACAGCATTATATGAGCCCGGAGTCTGTGCTACCGTATTTTCTTCTCTCCTAAGGATAATTCTGCAGGGCAAGGAGAGGGCTAACCAAAAGAGATCCCCATGCTCAAATCAGTGAGGCAGATGATCTCGATCCCAAATATGTGTCAAAAATCAATCATATGACATTGCAACTTCATGAGGCAAAATTTTGATAAATTTATTCAAAGCATGGTTCTGTGGCACAGAAACAATTGCAAACTTCATATTTAGAATAGAGGGTACAGCACAACTTAGGCAGCTGCTATTCTTTTAACATGGATAGACTGGGAGGCTTTCAAAAAACTCATCAAGAAAAATTATTTTAAATGAAAATAAAGGCAAAATTGAGTAAAATATGCTGGTAGACTTGCCCTGCAGCCAAGGGCTTTATTTCCTTGCCAGCAGAATTGGTTGACCAGATAAGAGAAATGGGAACATGAATGTCTGGAAGTTATGTCTGATCTTTTCTTCCAGCCATTGGAAGCATCTACAAGGTAGAGTTGGGCCATTTGGACTTCACTGATGCTTTGGGCATAACATTAGAGGGGCATCTATTAGCTCAATATGAGGAGAGAGCAAATAGCAGAAGTATTGTTAGATTAAAGAAGTTGACTGAAAATTTCAGTCAATAGATAAGTGAGATAAGAGCACATGTACTGAAAGATCTGTGGGGTGGGAAGTTGCCAGCATGGTCCATCGTTAAGCTTCTGTATTTTGTTTCGTGTTTTCCTGAATCGTTGAGGCATTGAAAATAGGGAGTTGTTACTGAAATGTGCTGCTGGCACAGCCATGGGAAGGTCTAAATGATCACATGGGGAGTATTATGTGAAGTTCCACCTGCAGATGTACTAGTGACAGGAAGTATAACACTACAGAGAGCAAACCTGAATGCTTAGTAGCCCAAAACACTGAACTGCTTGTGTTTCTCCTACAAGCTGATGACCCACATTTGGGAGCAGTAGAGGAGGGTAACACTTGAATGAATTAGTTTGGTGCAGGAACATCACATGTGATTTCACCTTGACAATAGCCTTGGCGACTCCTATCTACCAGCTGTGATGGTAGGAAATGCTGCTTCTTTATCCAAAAACCTGCTGGACCTAGAGCTGTTTCTAGGGTGGCCAAGACAGAGAAAAGTGTATCTAATGGGCTCTTCCTGGGTTTAGGCTAAGGACATGAGGTTGTTGGGAGTGCTGAGGGCTTGTCATCAGTTTGTTGGAGCAATAGCAGAAGGGCAGAAAAACTATTTTGGCCATAACGTAGTGTTAGCTCTGGGATAAATGGTGTATGGACTGCCTGTGATGATCTGAACACTGGAAATTAATATTCCTCCTCACATGAGCCAGGAGGTGCTTCAGTGGGAAGTTTCATGACAAGAATCCAAACTGTCTCTGAGATGGATGCTTCTTTGAAAGGCAGCTTATAAAATTATTACTGTGGTAGCTGAGGTCCACGACTATAGTCCAAGGGTTCTGTCCTGGAGTTTCTGACGGTGAGTGCATGAATCTGGCATGGAGTACCCTCTGTTTCATATGGGACAGAAGCAGATGTATCCACTCCCCTGTTCAGATTCCAGCTGCATCCAGCCTTGCCTTCCAGTCCTATGTTTCTCTGCTCTTGACCTAGCAGAGAGAGATTATAAAGCTTCCTTAGCCACTTGAGAGCACTTCTTAGGCAGTCCAAGGGATTGTGGTTGTGCAGTTTCAGCTCTTTCTCTCAACTGAACACCCACATATGTGAATAAATGCAGTTTCTACAGAATTCCCCATCTTTAACTCACAGAGTGCAAGCACTGGTCTCTGACTCTAATGGACTTGAATTTCTGAAGCAAGAAAGTCTCCCTATAGATCAAAGGCAAAACTTTTCTAAAATGAGTGATTTTTTCAGATCTGCTCAGCTGCTACCTGAAGAGTTGTTTAAGGGTGGTGAGTTGTCAGTCTCCAATAAGAGAGGGGTACAAACCTATTTTAAGTTGTGTGAACAATCTAGAGAAGCCATAATGATCATGGTGCCTGGGACACCTAAGAAGTGAATCGATGGCCCAGCAAGCTTCTTCGAGCAAGAGTTCCCTTCTAGTTTTTCCTCCAGGACTTCCTGATCTTGGTATGCTTCCCAGTGCCCTAGGATGGCTCACAGACTTGTCTGTATTGGGATGACCACCAGTACTGCAGCAGAGCCTTGCAGAAGTCCTTTGCTTAATGGATCCTTTCCCATTTACTCTGTGGGGAAGTGGTAGCCTCACCCAGGCATGTAAGAGGCTCCAGTAAGCAGCTTTGCAGTCTGAGAACTATATAAGGTTTTCTCAGTTTTTGCTTCATTTTTTATTTCCTCTCTGTCATACAGATATTTATTGATGGGTGAATTTTGCAGTTCTCTGTGCTGAAGTGATGAACTGTTGTCTTCTGGACCTGGAAAAAATGTGGTGAAAGCATCAGTCCAAAATGCTGCCTCTTTTATTTTTGCTTTTCCTTTTTAAATGTTAGTCCCTGCAGAAGTCAGCAGTTCTTCTCCCAACTTCTCTCAGTAATGCTAAACATTTCTGAAGGATGCATGAGGTGACTCGTAGACAACTGTGCCGTATTTTTAATGCATTTGGGGAGGATGAATCAAGAGACAAAAAGGGTCCATCTGGAACAGGAAGAGAACTTGTGAAGCTGACTCAGGGCAGCTTTGATTGTCTTTAGGCTCTGTCTTTGTCCAGCAGAGCAAAAATTCCTTTCAATTCCGTGCCAAAGCCATTTTCCCCTTATATCTCACCATGTCATGTTACCACTCTGCATAGTGATGAAACTGCAGTGTCATTATGTGTGATGTCAGTCTCTGTCTAGGTATAGTTTAATCATTTGACTGTAAGAAGGTGCCCCAATCTCTCCCATCTCCCAAAACCAGTTATCCCAATGATTTGGACAAGTGGAAAGCTGCCAGTGAAGCAGATTACTGTTCATGTGATTTTTTCAGATTTGTCTCATTAGAAGTTCAAACCTAGCAAGGAACCATTCCCTGAAACACATTTTCAGTGTAATACATAATGTTTTTCACTCCAATGAGGCTTGATCTAAAGCCTCTCAAAATGATTGGAAAAGCTTCCATTATTAAGCCTTCAGAGTCTGAATTTCAAGGGTGTGATGCCAACCTTGTCCATCATATTCTTATATCTGATACTCTCTGAAGACCTTGTTTTGACATGCACCTTTGAACTTGCCTAAAGTGGTCAGATACATCACCAGAAAAACAGCACCTGTGCTGATTTCATCTGTGGAGTAGATAAGAAGTGAAAATTTAAAATTTAAATTCTGACTTCTCTGACCCCATTGTCCTAGGATAGCTGCCTCAGCAGTGATGTGGCTGACTTTAAGGTTGCTTTTTGATTTCTTATTTATTTTTCTGAAATATGATTTTAAGGTGATGCAGGAATAAACTGCAAACAGATAACTACTTTCACAAATTCCACATACAGGCCACATTGCCTGCTTCTGAAAACTCTTGTCACTACACACTGCTGGCATACCTGGGGAAGGTTGGAAATGCGTTGCTTTATTCCTCTTACCACAGGTGCCTTTAATACCTTTGTTAAGGCATTTTCTGTGGAGATTCTTTGATTCCTGCCATGTCTAGGACTTATTCAGATTTCTACATCTCATTGCTTTCAGTGAGGAAATAGTTTGCTAAATATTCTGGAAGATTTGACTTCAGCAAACCTGAAAAATATTTGTCCTCTTCTTTTTAGTTCAATACGACTTTGCATCTTCATCATCAAGTGGAACAAATGAGTCTTTTGGAGGGAGCGAGACTATCTGCAGTGATGTCTCTAATGTCTCTTGTGGGTGTCTTTCATCACCTCTGTTAATGTGTCCTTGCTCATGTTTCCTTTTCTGTTTCACTCTTGCAGGGTTGGAATCTGGCCACATCCCTGGTGCTGTGAACATACCCTTCCACTCATTCCTCTCAGAAACAGGCCATGAGAAGAGTATTGAGGAGATCCAGGAAATCTTCCGTGCGAAGAAGGTGGATCTCTCGAAGCCGCTGACGGCCACGTGCCGCAAGGGCGTCACGGCGTGTCAGATTGCCCTGGCAGCCTTCCTGTGCGGCAAGCGCGACGTGGCCGTGTACGATGGCTCCTGGTCCGAGTGGTTCCACCGGGCCCCACCACACTACAAGGTCTCCGAGGTGAAGCGCAGCAAGGCCTAGAGGGAGAGCTGTGTCTGGGGCAACGTGGTCTAGCAGCTGTCTCCAGCCCAGGGTAAAGCAAAAGCGAGGAGGTGGAAGTAAAGAAAAAATCGGTTTAGATTTTGCCAAATTTTTTAAAGAGCTATCATTAGGTTCCTATTGAACTTTTGATTTTTGACAATTAATAAAATCTTACATGATGCATCTGTGAGTATTTATAATTTTCTGTTACCTGCGACCTGCTTGTACTGGGTGGGAAAAGCAGCTCTGCAGCATGAAGGAGAGTTAAACTCTGTGCCTGAAGACCTGCAGAAATTCCAGTGGCCTGGTGAAAATCAGGAGCAGAATGAATGCAAAGTCCAGTGCTAAAATACACCACTGGGTACTGGGCATGGGAGGGCCAAAATGTGATTCTATCATTGACTCTATGGAAGACTTCTTGCCAGCCCACCATCTTCCCATTTGGAATGTGGAAGATGAAGGTACCTTCCATTTGACAACCGGACCCAGTCCACAGGGAAGTGTGTTGCTTCCCTGGGGTCCAGGTGAGGCACATCAAAAAGAAATGTATGGTATCAACTGGTATGGCCCACTGATTATTACTTTCTAGTGGTGTTCCAGGTAGGCAGCAACAAGGTCCCAGCAAGAAGGCTGAGGTCAGAGAGCTCATGTGAAGCATTTGGAGATGCTAAAAGATCCATTTCTGCTGAAATACAGTCTTGTTGACTATCATGACTGTGTTAGGAAAGTCTCCAAGAAGTCCTGTATATGTGATAAGAACTTTTGGGCACAGATATTTCATGAGACATGAGCCTTTTACTCTGCTCCTTGTGTGTTTTTCCAATCAGTGAGGATTGCCCTTTTGTACACCATGTGAATTCTGTTTCCCATGGAGCTGGAGCCCACAGCTCATAGAGGGATGGAGCATTGTTCCCTAGCAACCATGTCTACTCTGCAGCCTTCATCCCACCTCCATACCTGGACTTCAGTAGAACCTGCCTGCTTGTACAAACCACCAGCCACCACACCAGGGATCATGGACCAGGTGAGAGACGTAGTTATGGAAGCGGCTTTGCCTCTTGGTAAATCATAGGTATTTGGATTTTTTAAATAAAAAAAAAAGAGAGGAAGGACCATCTCCCTCTTTCCTCAATGGCTGCATGTCAGGAAAGTCACTGTTAGGCTATGCTAAACATTTCGTTCAGAAAGAAAGGTCATGTATAATCCTTTTTAGTTTTGATCAAAATATATCTTTTCTGATTGGTTGCCTGTTGTCCTCACAGAACTAGTTTAGCAAAGCAATAAGTAGACATACTTTCGTCGTTTCAGTTATCCAGGAGGATGGTAAAATGGCCTTAAAGTCCTTCTTGGCCTCAAGATGTGAGACTCTCTGGGCAGTGCTTTGACTTTGGACCTTCAGGGTCAGAAATAAAATGAAAAACAACAATCACATGCAGTTGCAGTGTTTTTATAACAGTGACAACATCATATACAGTTACAAACTAGAAAGTAGGAATAGTTGCAGGCTTTGGTGTCATTTTGTCCAGGAGGAGCTGGGGAAATTATTGATGAAAGGGATTTGGGAAATGAGCACATTGCCTCATTACACAGAAATTCTGCTTTGTTGGAAGAAATGGGAGAGGAGGAATTTCTACATCAGCAGACTGGAAAGTTCTTCCTACTGAATATAGTAATAATAACAAACAGACATGTTTTTGTTTTAAGTAGGAGGTGGGAGTTAGGACAGCAGTTTATTTAGCAGCAGCTTCCTGCACTTTGATCATGTGTAAGTGTATGGCTCTTCCTTAAAAAGAAAGAAGAGTGATCAAAAAAAGAGGCAGATCATTCCCTGTGAGTCAGGACTGGCTTCCTCTCCTCATGTCTTGTGGCACTGTTCTTTTTGTGGGAGAGGTTCTGCAGAGCATACAGCACTGACTCCTGGAGTCTGGCTGATACAGTAACTTCAGCTTCAGGATCCCTGAATACTATGTAAGACTTGGTGCTGCAAAGACCTGGCTCAGTGTAAAATGCAAGCTGCTGCTGATTCAAGTCAGCCCGGGTGGAGCACTAGGCTTCGTACCCCTTGGGCTGGCACCTTCATTCCCACAACTGCCTCAAGAGCAGAAGGTAAGCCCTGTGTCGTGTCCTGAGCTAATCTGACAAATCCAAACACAGGCAGGTACATTCCTACCTGATCCAGATCCCATTTGTCCTGCTGCTAGTGCCAGCAGGCTCACAATTACCGTATTCCATATGGGCCAGGGCTTTGGTTTTAACTTGTCACAGCCTTGGCATGTGCTAAACCTATCAACCTATCCCTGGGATGAGGAGCACACCCAACAAGCAGGACTTGACTGAGGACTACACAGACATTCCCTCTGCAGGAAGGGCACTTCTCGTTCTAGTTGTCCCATGCAAATGCAATGCCTGCAGAAGCCGCTAAGGGAGACTCAAGGACAGACCCAGGTCCCAGGGATTAGTCATAGTTCAAAGAGCTGTGCAGGGGTGGAAATGCCAGGAGATTGCTGCACTTCGGGAATGTGGATTAACAGAGTGTCCCTGTTGTTTGTATCTCCAGAAATGTGAAGCTCAGGACAATGCAGCATTAGGAACAGGACAGAAAGGACCCAACAACTGTACTGAAATGACAAAAAGCTCCTTGGTCTGGGCGTCTCTTTCAGATTACCAACAGCTGGGTTACAATTTGGGAATAAATCTCTTCCAAGGTGAGGGGACACTGCCTATCCCTGACCTTCAAATCTGGTTCCATCTATGCTTTGCCAGGGCTCAGGCAGCCGCAGTGCTGTGGGTAGAGATCTGACCATAGGTAATACTCACTTTCCCCTCACATTCCTTCTATCCAAAGTCACTGCTCTTCCAGGCTATGGTACCTGAGGAACTGGAATCTAGACACTCCCATTTTATGTATTGTATCTCTTTCTTTTCTTTCACTGTTTTATTTTCTTCCCACAATATAAAAAGTGAACGTGAATCATAACCCGTGTCATCCTGTCCAGAGTTGTCCAAATGGACACCATTTGCAATTCAATGTTCCCTGTCATCTCCAGTTGCTAGTTACCTCCAGTTCCAGTGCCAACATCATTTCTATTCCAGACCTTTAGACATGTGGAGCTCTGAAATATCTTTCCCAAACCTCTGTTTCCAAGATTCCCCAGGATCTCTCCATCTAAACAAATATTGGAAATTGAGCATTAATCCAAGAAACTCTGAAATAATTTTCCCTGTTTCTAGTTTCTCATGTACCAGCATAAGGCAGATTCCTTTTCCTTATGGATTACTTTCCATGACAAGACCTTGATGGATATTGAGGACTGCATTGTCCTGGGTTTGTGTGGTCACACAGAAAAGAAAGATATCTTTCCTCAGAGAGCTCAAAATCATTATTGTCAAGACAAAGGTGTGATTAAAAGGAAGGTGAAGAGGAAAGGATTAGAGATTAAAATAAAGCCCCCTCGTGGCTAGAAGTAAAGAGGGGATAAAAAGATAAAAACTGTTGTCACAGTTGGCAACTCTTTGTTAAGTTTTGTGGAAGAAAATGAGATCGAGAAGGCATGGAGTGATAAGATGATGGGAGTTTTGTGGAGTTGTGCTGCTAGTAGCTGCTAGGAAACTACTCACATGGATGAGGAGATTCAACAGGAGGTAGGTGGGCACTTGACTGAAGAAAGGGCACTGGGATACAAATAAAGGTGATACCTTGCAGCACCCTCTGTATGTATCATATTTGAGGATGAAAAGCAGCTAAACTGGCAAACACACCTCCTGGGTGATGATGATGAAGCTGCTGTTCAGTCTCAAACCTGATCAAAGGTGCTGCAGTCAACACTTGCCTTTTCTTGAGCCCTTGCAACTGCTGGTGTTGCACCCCTGCTCAATTCCAGGACTGGAGAAGGGTGATTTCTTCATACAATTCCTTATTTACTGTTCCTTGCAGGTGGCCCACTGAGGAGCCGAAGCTTGATGAGAGATTCTTACACCCCTGATATATTTCAGAAGGCAACCATAGATCCCAAACATTGGCATGGGAAAAGAATTAGTGATCTCGGTATGATTTCTGTGAGGAAAAGTACATTGTTGAATTACTGAGATGGGTGCTTTGTCTGCCAAGGACAAAGGATGGATTTGGGCAGAGCCACAAAGGGGACTAGAAATTGGTATTTTAACAAGAGAGAAGCTCTACAGCTAGAATAATCCTTGGGGTACGATAGCACTAGGAAGGAAACTGTAACTGAGCTATGATTTCCTATCTTTACAGGGAGATGGTATGAGAAGTATTTCCTGGATATTAACGTGCAGAAAGCAATGAAGGAGAAATATGGGGGGGGTAAAAAAGGCAGTCTCTAGAAGATGAAAGTTGAAGATTGGAGTGCATTCAATGAGTCTTTTTCTTCCACTATCTAATAAACCTGCCTATGAAACCTGAACCCATTGCCTACTAGCTGGCAACGGCAGATTTGTTCGTGGTGCTTTCTCCCCTCTCTATTAAAGTATCTCTGGGGAGACCAGTGTGAGATAAGTCTGAATATGCAAAAAAAATCATCACTTTGTTGGTCACTGGTATGGTGGGAAGGATTAGTGTGTGAGGCCCATACCCCTGCAGAAGGATGTGGTGTAGAGAGGAGCACACACAGAAATTCACCTGCTCAGCATGTAAGGTGGAGCAGAACCTGTGAGTGGTGCAAGAGGGCAGTGGTGGGAGAAGTTTGTGTTCGTGAGCAAACTCATGTTTGCCAGAAGATTCATGACACTTTGACAGCTGCTCCAGCATTCCAGGGAGTACAGAGGATGCACTGGGAACCAATCAGGGTTGTCCCAGCAGCAGAAATGTGCTAAAGCAAATAGAAATTCACCTGAGGAGACATCAGGCTGTTTGTGAAAGGTCACTATTTACAGGCCAAGCCAGTGAAAATAAAACCAAGGAAACAACGGCTTATTCCACCTAAAGAGAACAGGAAAGCTACAAGAAGCCTCAGGACTCCTCCAGTGCACAAATAACCCCACAACCTGCATGTACCCTTACCGAAGCTCTCATAAGCCCCACTTGCCCCTGCCAGCCCTTTCCCTAGCTCTGAGCTAAGTGACTCTCAGAGAGAAGCACACGTACCCAGCGTCCAGTCTGTACAACTTGGAGTTTGGGGATGTACCTGGGCAGTAAGTAAGGACCACCCAAGGTTTGAATGATGCAGGATATGCAGGGTCTTTCGTGCTTCCTGATGTGTTTTTCTCACAAATTTAATGGTCTTTATTTCAGGACTCTGCCTTCCAGCTCCAAAGTGTAGCAATTTGGTACAGCAATCACAAAGTACATTTCTGGGAATAGAAATGCCCTGTTCTTCCCCGTCTGGTCCTAAGCTCTCACCATTTTAGAACATTTATGCTTTTTTCAATAATATGAACTGTTTGGGTACAGAGCTAGGATTGTTACTTCACCATTGGCTGGTGATTAAATAACAGTATGCTAACTTTGTTAAAGCAGTGAGGGAGGCTAAAATGTAACTAATATGATAATCAAGTGATAATCATTTTCCACCACCAATAATTAACCAGATATTTCCAGGCAGATGTCCAAGTCTTTCAAATTAAGGAGACCAGCCAAATTGCAGCTTGTAGAAACCTCCCTGTGGGTTTGCTTTGTACATGAGTACTGAGTGACTGCTGTCTGAGCACACACCACTCTCACCTCCCCTGAACAGCACGGCTCTGTAGGAGCAGCCACTTCTCTGTGTTGCATCCAGCACTGATGGCCAACATAACTCCAGGTACATAATGAGCCCTGTCTTCTGAGATCACAGCAGGTCCTAATCCAGAAAACATGGAGCTGAACAGAAATCTAGTGATGTTGTTTGGCATACTGGAAGCAGGCAGTTCAGGGCACAGTCAGATAATAGAACACATAATGTGGGATGAATTCAGACCTAGATGTACAAATATGTTTCTACTAGACATTAAAAATACCTATTAGCCATTAGAAATAGACACTAGGGCAAGCAGGCACACTGCAGGATTATGGTTCAGCTGGAAGCAAATGCTCCTTTGCTATTCATGAGGGGCTCATTAAGAGAGTAGATCAGAAGAGAAATAGACTGAAAGGTCCTGTTGGTGCACGATTGGGCACAAAATGGGGTGTTTGCCTCTTGCAGGGAAATGAAGTCACTGTGTACACCTTCTACAAATGAAAATATTTTATAAGCACTTAAATAGTATAAAATACTTGGTGTTGTATAATGCACTCAAAGGGTGACAGCTGTTTGATGACAAATAAACATACCTATGTCAATCCCCCTTCATCTTCTTTGCTTTGCCAAATGGTACAGCTCAGCCAGGAACAAACACTTTCAGACAGGTGACACATGAAGGCTGCAGAGATAACTGAGATTATAGCTTTCAGTGAGGCAGCACAGCCACTGGGTCAATCAATACCTGAAGTCTTTGAGTGATGAGCAGACTAATTTAGCCACAACCTTGGCAAGGAGCATTTTCATGTGTGGCACTTTTTGTTGTAGAGTGCTTTGGATATCCAAACACATATATGGAAAGCCAGCCTTGGAATCTCCAGGTACTGTGTCATATGCAGTTAGACAAGAACAGAGCTGAAATAAGTGCTCTTGCTCACTGCAGCTGAAATCTCTCTTCTATCCATTCTTTGTCTCTCAATAGTTCATTCCTTCTTGCTTGTTTTGTGCTAGTGTTGGCACTTCACTGCCCACACTCTGAACTGAGTCAAATTGATAAACCAGCAGAAAATCAATACAGAAGGAAAAATAAAACAAAACAAAACAAATTTAACAGGTTAGCCAATTAAAATTTCTAAGCAAAGCGATTGTTGCAGACAAGGCAGTGAATTATGGGATTTGCAGATGTTGGGAAAGAGGAGTAGAAGAAGAGTGGAGGTGGAAATGGCCTTTCACTGCCTTTTTTATGCAGCAAGAAATTAATTAGCCTCAACTCTATTGTCTCATAGAACATAGTGCTTCGCAACATAGGTAGCCCGTATTTAAGTGATTTTACAGAGTCTGATCATTGGGTGGCAGCTCTGAGCCAGCGTTTTTATCTGACAAGTCAGAAATTGGAAGAAAGTGTGTTCTTCTCTGGTTAGCTAAACCGTTCACTGAAATTGCTATTTAAGAACTGTTTATGTCACCTCTAAACAGTCAGTGCACTTGAAATATTATCAGGCTATAAGCATTTGAAGTAGAAGAAACCAGTTTCACCCCAGCTTCTGCAGCACTCTCCTCACAAATTTTTGTAGCAGTAATAGCTACTTCCTAGTTCAGGTTTATGCATCAGTGTAGTTGAAGCACAGGTCATTTTTCAGGATATCACTTTTAATAAGTATTTCCTATTCTCCAAACAATATTTCATTTTCCTTTTCATTTAACCCTCTGACCTCTGCCTATCTCATGCTGTCCTGAATGATTCCAAAGTGAATTGAATCACTCCAATCTGCCTCCACTGTGAACGACTTTGAATGGCTCATATGAAGAGATGGTAACAACTGTAAGAACAGAAGACAGACACTGCAAAGACTCTTATTAGAGTCTTCAGCCAACTCATTCGATTCAATCCTTTATACTGTAAAGCTTGCACAGAAGTAAAACCTAAATTCAGAGCTACATCTATCCTGAGGTAAGCCCAGTATTCCTAAAAGAGTTCGTACTTACTGCTGATCCTGCCTATAATGGGATAAAAGAGAAATCCAGCACTGCTTGAAGTGACAAGAGATCACAACAAAAAGGGAGCAGGTGAATTGACTTCAGTGGATTTCACTCTCAGGCACTGAGTTTAAAATACAATTGTGTCTTACATTTGAAGGTATTGAAAACTCTTATTCATCAGGAGAGAACAGTGATTTGAGGGTTAGGAATTACCTGTGGTGCTCCACTTGATAGTGGTAGAGCAAATGAGCCAACAAGCAAGAAAGGTATAAAACAAAACCAAAACTCAAATGGTGTGTTCATTACGGTTCACTTTGTGTTTTCCTTGCCACAGACTCCTCTCTGACAGAGCCAAGGTTCATGGATTGAAGCTGGAAGAGCAGCGACCCAGTGTCAGTGGTGGGATCACTGCACTTGGAAACAGTAAAAGAGGTTTGAGAGCAACAACTCCTTACAGATGGAGAATAGGCTCTCTCAGGTTTGGCCAAAACAGGGGTGAGGGCTACACTGAAAAATATACAAGAAGATTCTGTTGCTGATTTCAGTGAACAGGCCTACCAATTTTATGCTGAGTTGCCGTTTTATCCCTCTTAATAACATTCCTTTTCTTTCAAACCCTTGGATTCATTGCTTGTGAGCAGGAAAACTGATTATCCAAGCTCATTATGTGCCCAAGTGAAATCATCTTTTCCTATAACCCGAGAGCCTTGAACTGAAATTGATTAACTATTTTTAGAAAGAAGCTCTAGCTAAATCTGACTTCTTCCCCTGCCAATCACACCTATCAGGGGAGTGCAAAACAAGACTATCTAAATGCAGGTGCCTAGGAATTATGGCCTGTCCCTTTTACCAAATACATTAATATAACTAAGAAAGAGGTGGAGTTATTTGAGATCTTTCACCATGTTAAACTAGAAGCTTAACTCCTCTAGAGAGGAGAGGTAGCATTTTTGGAAAGAAAATGGGATAATAATGGTGTTATATTTTGAATTTTTGGTTTCGTTATCTAACACCCCTGCAACTCCAGCTCTTCTGAATCCCAAGACTGGCTATTTTCCTTTTCCAACAGCTTTCTTTAGGGTTCTAAAGACCTTTGCATTGTATTCCTTGCCACTGCTAGATGAAAAAATCACAGGACTTGGCTGCTACTAACAGCTCTCTAAGGTGCCATCTGCATACAGACAGGAGATGGCCTAATGGGGTACACTGTCTTCCAGGAAGCCAGAAGGAACCTCTGGCCACATCTCTTGTACCTTCCTCAGAAGTTGCAAGCCTCGGACTTTTCTGTGACACAGGAAGAGGTCAAGGGTTTACTGCCAGCTACAAGTGTCCCAGTTCCAAGATATGAAAGCACAATTCAGCTTTTGAGAAAAATCCATGTTTTTTTCCTATAAGTAAAACGGGGGCAGGGGCCATTCTGTGGCTCTCTGGGCACAGACTGGCTGCATCTGCAGACTTACTGGTCTCCTTGGTCTCCCACAGAGCCTCTGCAGTTTAAAACACAGATAAAGTTCTGTGTCTCTTTTATTCAGCTCAAAGGGCACAACACACTGTGTTACAGCTGTACTCCAAGTAAAAAAGGATGTGCTTTGCACAGCTTGTGTGCAAAGCCTGCTGGAATGCTGCAGAAGGACACTGGATACATCCTCACACGGTGCAGTTGTGTCCGTGTTGCCCAGTAGGAATTGTTGCTACTCTGTTCCATCTCCCAAATGGTGCCAGGTTGTTATCTTGGAGAGCACTGGTTGGCACAGGCGAAAACATGGCAGGGGGAGTGCTGACAACAAAACAGTGCAAGCAGTTGCAAGGCAGTGGGTGTGATACTACATCTTGGCCCTGATTTATTTGGCACTAATAACTCAGGCAATGTGACTGCTAGCATCAGCGTTTATGAAGCTCACGAGCTTTCAGGGATATTTTGCAGTCAGGTTTCTAAAATAAAGGGCCCTTGTTTCTTACAAGCAATGAGTGTGGAACTAGACAAAGGGAGAAGACAACAATTTCCAAAAAGCTGCAAACAAACTCATCTTTCCTTCATATGACTTACAAAGGTACAAATTAAAAAGACCTGACCCTCACTCCTAAGAACCAGATAATTATCATGAGACCCAGGAGTCAATTTAATTTGTATCAGCTTCCCTGACTGCTCTGCAACCTAGGATATTTTCCCAAAGAGGGTGTTCTGGTCACCTTCTGTCTTTCAAGACATGATATAAATTAGAGGCATTATGGACAATTTGGAGCTATTTCTGATCAGCCACACACTGGCTGGGACCAATGAAGCTCTTCTTTGTTTACATTCCACTTTCAAAGTCAGACTTTGCTTCAAGGAGAAGAAAGTATGTCATTTCTAAAGGATGAGGAGGAAAGGGAATATGTGTTTTCATGAGGGAAACTGTGTTCAGGCAAACTGGGAGGAATTCAGCCAACAAGGTTTCCACTGCCTTTTATTAAAACCTATTTCCAAATGAAGAAGAAAATAAGCAGTTTTCTATCCTCAGACTTCCATCCAGGGACTGCATCTGCAGTAATTCCTTACAATTTCCATAGGTGTTTGGAAGGTGACACAGGAGATAAACAGGTGAAAATGTTTTGTCCCCCCTAGGCAAGCCTGCTCTTAACCTATGGCTAGTAAAGAATTTTAGGATTAGATATTCAATACTATACTCTGATAATGATTTAAATACTCAAGACTAGAGAAAAGACTTAGTGGTTTACCTTTATCATTCTGAAACAAGTAGATATTTTATCTCTGCCTCCACTATCAGGTAAAATTTGAAGTTGTGGTTTTCTTGATCATATGCATGGATGTGACACACCCTGGGTATTGTGAAGTTCTGGCAGTCAGGGTGTTTTAGACCTTTGTGGGACCTTCAGATCCGTTTCTTTGTTCAGAACTGTTTCTTTGTTGCTGTTAATCAAAAGGAAAAAAGCATGACTATCTCAATAGGATGCTGCTGCACAGCCTTATATGTGGTTTCTGAAACCTTCCCCGCATATGTTTTATTCTGTTTCTAAATCAATATTACATTATGCTGGCATACTCCTATAATTCATTAAGTGACACAAATAAATTCTCTAATATCAAACACTTCTGCTTTACTCTCTTTCTTTCCTCAAAGGAAGATGCACTCACAATAACTATTTCAGGTTGGTGGGTGTCTGGGCCCTGAGCATAACCTTTTTGTGCCTTCCCCCAAAAGGGGTTTGGCTGCCCATGCTCAAGGCTGTCTAAACTGGAATCATTCTGGCTGATGGCCTCCCCACCTTCACTCAGAAGGTGCTTGTAAATTCAGGCCCTTACCTGAGCTATGGCACAGCCATATCTGTGCCCAGTGATGCACATTGCTGATTGGAATCCTTGGGATTGACTTCCTAGCTTGTCCTTACATCTGGCTACTGGATAGGGACTTCCTAAGGGGTCTGGATTGATGGCTGTTTCTGGTCACTCTCGCTGTTCTGCATTTCTTGTTACTGTGGAATTGCACTGTTGCCATTGAGCAATGCTTTGCTGTCACCCTCAGCTCCCAGCTCACCTTCTCAGCAAGCAAAGCTTTTGACTTCATAGCAGCAGGCTTGGCATTTTACATGTGTACAACATCTGTTATGCTTGCTTACACTAGAGAATCCAAAGAAGGGACGCCAGAGAAATGCAATCAGCAGTTAGGATAGAGATTTTGTAAGGACTGTGAGACTGCAGAACTCCTGCAAACAGAAGATTATTTCCATGCAGACTGTGAAGTCCTTTCTGCCACAGGAACACTTCTGTGGTTTGAGACTTCAACCCACATCAAATTGCTAACTTTTAGAATGTGATTTAGTACTCTAGAGATTGTAAGAGCCACTTTCTCTATTGTCTTCACAGCTGTCAAGTCAATTCATGAATGAATCCTACAGCTCTTTCTCAAAATTAAAGCCAAAGTACTGTCTTTCTATTCTCATTTCATGTGTTTTCTTCCCTGCCTCCAATCTCTTTGCTGTTCATCCCTCCATCTCCAGCATCCACTATTATACTTTTTGTCTTTACCCTATCTGTTCTCTATTCTCTGTTCCTTCCTCTCTCTCGTACTTTCCAGTCTGACTGTTCTGTTTTCTTCCTGAAAGGAGGCAGAAGTAGCAACAAGATAGTGCAAGACATATCTAGTATATCTGAGAGGAAACACAAGTCAAACAAACACATACAACTTTTTTTCTCACAGTTTTTGTTTTGCAGAAATAATTTCAACATAGCTATGCTCTTGCTGTCATAAGGAAGGACCAGCCTTTTTGGCCAATCTGATCAGTTATTATCACCACTGCCTCTAGTGTAACGCATTATTCTCCACTCAAGTGCAATTATTCCCAAGTCCTGCTATAATGTGTCTGTGTGCTCTCACATCCAAAGCAGGGGACAGTGATTGAAAAGCTTATGAAACCAGATGGATTAGCATGCTCTGCTTCCTGTTCTTCCTCATCCTGTACAGAACCTTCCTCCCTAGTCTGGACATAGCACTGGTGTCTGCAAGCTGGATACTATGCTAGCTGCAAGACCAGTCCATGTCTTTTTGCTCAGCTCCATCTCTTAGGTTCATCAACCAAGCCTCTTCACATCTTTCACAGGACACCAACCAGGAACTTGGTTTTTACAGCAGTTGTTAAAGCTTGGAGTCACATTCATGATTTGATGAGCCTCAGAACACTCCACCCATGTGCAGGCTGTAACAGATATAGTCATTGTAGGGCCAAATTGTAGTCACTGTAGAGTCATCACTGGGAGGCTTTCTGAATAGAAAATGGATCAGGCTGAAGAACACAGTGGGAATGGTAAAATGAACACAAGTTACTGGGCTGGAGAAAGCAGAGACAGAGAAGTGAGGTGCTGGATGATGAGAACTGCTGGGAATATCTATGGTATTAATTGGTGTTTATTTCACTTTAGTCAAAATTGGCTCTTCATGGGAAAGTGGCAAGAAATCTTCAACATCACTTGCTGCTCTTAGAATAGGCTGGACTCTCTGCCTTTTACCAGAATTTTATCATGAGTCTTAGAACTGAAAAAGTCTCAGCTCTTTGACTCTGCTTGTTTGTGAATCAAAGTGGTTGTGCAAGAAAAGTAAGACTCTGGTCTACAACCTGTGCAGAAAAGTTGGAATTGTTTTCTAACAGGTAAAATTAATTTTCAATAAATATTCTAATTCAAATGATAGGCCTAAAGGGTTAAGCTTGATGTTTTTAAGCCTCATTAAACTTCATGCCTTTGAATCAAAAGGGCCTCATAACACTGGCTAAAACTGCAAACACATCTTTCCCTTTCCCATCCCCCAAAGGAATCACAACCATTCTGACACAGTGAACTACCATCTAAGACTTGTGATGGTACCTTTGTTTCTCTTCCTGAACTGCAGAGGCCTGATGCTCCATGAAACCCCAACCCAGATGGAAGGCTGGTCAAGCAAGTGTGAGTATAACACAGAAAGCCCAACAGAGTAGATCTCCCCAGTGAGAAGCCTGTTGTTGGAGGAAATGAGAGTACCAACACCAACTGGGTAATGCTGAATGGGAGTTTATCTAGCTGAGAACTCACATCAGTATCAGTGTCCTAGCATAAGCATAATTCTGAGTCCTGGTAATTTTCTGCATAGTTTTGCAATAAGCAAAGGTCCAAGCTGCATGAGAGGACCCTCAGGACCTAAACAGTGTAGCGCTGACTTTTGTACTCCTTAACAACAGAAAGAATATGGCAGACATTTAGAAAAACAACTTCTAAGAACATAATTACAGATTTTCTAAAAGCCAAACAAATGCTCTTAGCAATCCACTGCTCTTCTAGCAGACAAGAGAGATCTCAGTAAAAAGTCAGTAAGGGCAAGATATGAGTGAGCGATTTATTGTTTAAGGCAAAAAAATAGATGTCTTATTAAGCAAGACATTCAACTTTGCATTTGTGGGTTGTTTTCATTTGGTGAATACATTGCCATGCCCACCAAATAAGCCCACTTGCCTTAGCAAGAGTTCTGCCTCTAGGAAGTCATATGCAAAAGTGAGAGACACCCACTCTGTTTAGCTACAAAGTCACCGAAAGGAGAATGCTTCCTGGCAAAGAAAACTATTTCAAAAACCTAGCAGCTGAACAGCTCGTGTCCCTCTATCAGTAAACAAACACACCTCATAGGTGAATTTGCAGAGAACATGCTTTTCATTTTTCTTTTGTCAAAAACCTCTCTGTGAGAGGGAGCTGAGTCTGTGTTGAGGAAAGGTCACTGTTAACCAGGGAAAATGAATTTGCCCTTCCCTGAGAATTCAGACTCCAAGTACAGGAGCTGAAGTTGTCTCTGCTGTCATGAGAACTACAAGGATCAGCTTGGTTGAGTGCTCTGTTTTTTAGAAACTGCAGCCAAAAGATGGCAGTGAATATT